GCTATATCAATATATTCCAGCTATTTAAGCAAGAATGATGACAATAGCCTGATTAGAAGGCAATTCTATCAAGCTGTAAAGTATGATTTATGTTAAAGCATCTATCATGATGACTGTAAAAATAAAAGACACTTATTAAAGACCAGGTATCTTTGCAATTCAATAAAACATTCATTACCCTGGGGAAAATGTTATTAAAATTTAAGATAAAATTTAAGATAAGTATTAGATATTTAATACTTTTAGGCTATAATCATTATTGAACATTTTTCTTTAACTTTCTAATTTTATTTGTATTTGATTTTTTTTAAGCTAGCAAGTCATCTCCGGGTAATATAAAGGTATTGTGTATATCTGGAATATGTTACCAAACAGGTTATTTCTGTCATTAGTTTATATAAATTAATGAATAAATATTATATACTGTAAGTATTTCTAAAGTATAACCTCAAAATAATCCTGGTTTTAAAAACCCACTTGTATGTTAAAACTCATCAAAAATCACCAACCTAGCTGAGCATCTCCATCACCTCATTGATCACAGAAGTACTACAGCAACTTAATGTACAACAGTCATTTTTCTTTCTTTTATTAATTGAATTTATTGGGGTGACATTGGTTAATAAAATTACATAGGTTTTAGTTGTACTTTTCTATAATACATCATCTGTATATTGCATTGTGTATTCACCACCCCAAGTGAAGTCTCCTTCCACCACCATTTCTCTCTCCTTCACCCTCTTCTAATTTTTTTTATCCCCCCTCCCCTCTGATAATCACCATGCTGCTGTCTGTGTCTCTGTATCTCCCCTACACCCTCTTCTAATCTCCCCCATGCCCCTTCCCTCTGATAATCACCATGCTGCTGTCTGTGTCTCTGTGTGTGTTTTTGTTGTTATTGTTGGTGGTGGTTTTGCTTAACCCCTTCACCGTTTTCACCCAGCCCTGCAACTCCCCTCCCCTCTGACAGCTGTCAGTCTATCCATGAATCTGTTTCTATTTTATTAGTTGACTTTGTTCATTAGATTCCACAGGAGTTAAATCATATGGTACTTGTCTTTCTCTGATTGGTTATTTCAATTAACATAATATTCTCCAGGTCCATCCATGCTTTCACAAAGGGTGAGATTTCCTTCCTTTTTAAGATCACAAGAGTTATCTTTTTAACATACAAAATATATAGATTTAATTTCAGGTTCAGGATAACCCAAGTTCTGCAAGAAACTGGGGAATGAATATTTAAATTTTTAGTGGAGTAGGTAAATATTTGAGACGAATGAATAAAAGACAAGATGTCATAGTCACATTAAAGGTACTAACAAAGTACTGAAATTAAAAGGGGGTAGTTGTTTCTCAAAGAGACTTTTATTATTTTATATATGGAACACAATTTTTCCCATTAAATCATGAATAATTGATTTTTCCACATTACCTTAAATTTTCATTTGTTAAAATATCTGTAGTATAGAGTAAAATAAGGTAGTCCTAAAGACTTAATGAAAATAAGAGATAATAGTGGTGTTCAATTATATGATTAAATGCTGCCTCTTGTTTTCAGTTGCCATGGAACCCTTTACTTTTCTGCAACAAAGATGTTTCTTTACATGCCTTATACAATAAAAGACTTATCAAATAGCTCTTTTATAAAGCCTGAAACTTATACATTTCCCCTCTCACATACACAATGACAAATTGCTATTGCTTGTGTCAATTTATACCAAACAAATCCACTCAGGGTCTTCCTTTGTAAATCTTGCATGAGGATAAAGAAATTAACCAGTAAAAGAGAGAGAACTGAGGCTATCTGTAGACAACAGCAAGGTTACTGGGAAGGCAGATACTTTGTCAGACACACAAAAGACATCACGTATAAAAAGGGGAATAGAAGAGCTACTTGGCTGCTTAATACCATTTATTCTCTTAAGTTCAGAACGGCATCCAACACCAAGCACCCCTGTCATCTTCTGTCAAAATGCTATTAATGAAAAGGTAGACAGACTCCCACTGCTATTGTTGTTCAGTGGTAATGGAAATCGCACAGCTGCTCTCAGTCAACTTGAAATCATTTCAATATATTTTTTTAAAGTTTTAAAAACAAATCTGCCATCATTGTTCTCACTTCATGTTTTATGTTTATTTTCCTCATTCAGAGAGAACAATTATACAAATGCTTGTCACTTATCTATTCAATATCCTTTACTTATTCATCTCTTTCTTTTGTTTCTTTAAATCTTATTTTATTCCATAAAATATTATTATACTTTGAAGGGATTTTCAACCACAATTAATCTTGTATTGCCTTGCTACCTTAAATAATGATCTTTTAAGGAGGTTAGGGATTATAACACAACAAACTCAATTTTACCCTTGTACAACAAGGGTAGCGAAAACAGAAACCACTGTGACTGTCTGTGGGAAGGAATGGCCAGAATCGTCAAGGGCACTTATGTACATCAGGAAAGGCTTAAGAGGAGATACGGATAAGAAAATAGATGACTACCCATTTTTCAATTTCAGACCCAGGTAGATAAGCTTAATGAGGCCTTCAGTTAAAAAGTGATTTGAAATCCTTAGCCCATCTAGATGGCTCTGACATTGGGATACTAATGAAGAGATTACTACAGGTGGGAAGCAAAGCAACAAGTTTAACTTCCCTTCCAAACGTAAACCTGCTACTCAATTGCAGATACAAATCTGGCTTTCTGAAGGGTGACTGGAGATGGAATTGGGGTCATAAGTATGCAGGCAATGGAAATGGGTGAAGTCACTCAGGAGCAGTAAAAACTAAAGGCTAACGAAAGCTTTAAATGTAGAGTAGAAGCCAACTGAGGAATGAGTAAGCAAAATAAACCATGATGGTTTCCTTATCGTCCTTATCACATTATGTTGGTTGTTCTATGAGCTTACAATTAAACCAGACGGTTTGCTTTCTTCAAGTGTTATTTTTCCACCTTGATTTCAAGATCTTGAAGGACAAGAACTCTTCTTCCCTTTCTTTTATATTTTCCTAAACCTGCCATGCTCAGTAGTCTTACACATATAGTAAAACTCAACAAATTCTTGATTCACTGACTGTTAAAATGGGGATTTATTTTTTAATGCAACATTTAATGCAAATTCCTCACATCAAAGAGTGAAGTATTAGAAACCATTCATGTATATGCAAGACTCTTCAGAATGATTCTCTGAATTTAAAACTTGCAAAGAATTTCACTTCCCTCACCCATTTACCCCCAAAAGGCCCAAATCTCTCAGAAGTAGCAAGTTTCTCCTGCATCAGCCCCTGCAGGTAAACCTACACTCACAGAATTCTTGGCTACTAGGAGTGTGGATTTAAAGACCATTGTAACGTACAGTTGGTTTTCTGAGAGATGTATCAAGGCTCATCAATGGGGAAATCTGGCAAGACTGGTCAGAGAATATGAGTCTATGGCTAATTACTTAGTGGAGAAATAGAAAGCCAAACAGAAACTAAGAAGTTATGACTTTGTACCCAAATATAGTACCCAGACATCTTCTGGCATCACCCATTAAGTGGTCCCAACTATTGATCAAACATATTTAGCTTGGCACTGACTTCTTATCATTCCATAAGTAAGAAAGGGGGGAAAAAACCATAAAAAAAAAAAACCAAGAGATTACAGGGGCCATCTATGAATAAGCAGCACATTACTAGTAAGCCTGGGGCTAGGATGCTGAAATGCACATCATTACAAATGAACCTCACTGCAAGCCACATTTCCCTTGAATTTTTTTCTTCTTCTCTAACCACCTATTTGGATCTAACCTTCATTCTCTTCCCTCTACCTATGGGGGGTTAATTTTTTCCCCTTTGATCTCCATGGATCTAAGTATATACGTGCTCATGTGCTTTGGGTAATAACAGTTTCCAGGTATAGCAAGACTTTCATGTTAGTGCTGTACTGTGCCAACTCTTTGAGACTGCCTCATGAGCTAAAGAGAAATAGTGTTTGCATAAACTTTCCCCCAATGATGGGTTTTACATTGGGAAGTGAGAAAGGCTCCTCACTGAGCATGGCTAACTAGAAAGCAAAACAGATGACCCAAGTTTCAAATGCGATTATTAGGTTGTGGATAAACAGGGAAAGAGAGACACAGCAGAGCAGTGAAGACTAATCTCATAAAAGGGTAAAGGAAAAGAAAACTGGTGCCAAACTTCACTGGAAAGTAGATAAGTTCAGTTAACTGTGGTAGATGGTGGAGGGTGGCATAGGATAAAGGAAAAGAAAACTGGTGCCAAACTTAACTGGAAAGTAGGTAAGTAAGTTCAGTTAACTGTGGTAGATGGTGGAGGGTGGCAGCAAGGAATAAATGTTGAAGATTTGAAAAGGTGACGAGGTTAGCCTAGGTTGGATAATACAAGCACAGTCTTTGGTGACAAATACCAGGGCTTAAATTCTTACCCATAGCCAAGTGGTGATTTTTAGCAATTAAGAGTGTGAGCGCAACATCAGTATTTCCACCTAATTCACAATTTGAGGATTATATAAGTACATTGCTTAAACCAGCGGTTCTCAACCTATGGGTCGCGACCCCTTTGGGGGTCAAATGACCCTTTCACAGGGGTCGCCTAAGACCATCGGAAAACACATAATTACATATTGTTTTTGCGATTCATCACTATGCTTTAATTATGTTCAATTTGTAACAATGAAATTGGGGGTCACCACAACATGAGGAACTGTATTAAAGGGTCACGGGCATTAGGAAGGTTGAGAACCACTGGCTTAAACTATAACATGGTATTCAGTAATTGGCAGCTTTTATCATTGTTTAAGGATAGAAGGGTCCAAAACAGAACTGTTGGCAGCTTCAGGAGAGAGTAAATGGCTATAAAACAAATAAAGCACAGTTTCTCACAGGTTAGAGAAGAGTCACAAGATTCACACTCAAGGCCACAAAACAGTGAACCTTTTACTAGATATTAAAGTTTGAAACTACACTGCTGAACAGTAATATTAATTTAACCACTAGGTGGCAATGATACAGCTGAATTTTACTGACAAGGTTAATTTTTAAAATAATGAGCAAATCCAGACAGAAATTCCAAGCTTTTTAGTATATATTTTCATTTGAGAAAAATGAAATCCATTTACATACAATTAATTTATAGAAGGTGTAATCATCTGATTCAGTATCTGTCAACGTCTCATGTTTCTTTTACTCTGTGCACTGAGGCAATTCACGCAGCACATAAAACTTTTAAAGTTCTCATCACAGATGTCTTTTTAAAGATCTAGACATGTATCATGAAGATAACAGAAATTATGGAAAGCAAAAATCTTATTAAAGTTTTAGAATTCTAAGAAAGGCACTATAAAATGCAAAGTATTTATATGGTAAAGTTAAACTTTAAAAAATGACTAACAGAACAATTCTGTTTTAAAAAAATTTAGGGCCAAAACATTAAATAATATGGAGAGACTTTGCTTTTAAATCACAAATTATATTAATATTCACATAGGTAGTGTCTTCATGTCTTGAATAAACATACTAAATTTACTAAGCAAATATATCAAAACTTTTACAAATTCTAGAATAAGTTTTACAAGTATCAAAATAATAAATGATGAAGTTCTTAAGAATCTGACACTTTCCATAATTATCTCTGCTTTCTTCATAAAGCAAGTCGTACATAACCTATGGCTTATTAAAAATAAAAACTTCTTTTTTTTTTCCTTTTCATATGAAATAAAGAGACGGTATGACAAATTTTTTTCAAATTATTCACAATATCAAGTACATAGTAAAAAACAACAAAACTTTCAAATTCCCAAGATGGTCACCCACATATAAGGTGGGCGCTCATGTAACATCACATGTAACATTATAGAACCTGTAATATAATTAGGTGAATAAATAATAAACCTATACTGTTACTCAATTCATAATAAAAAGACCCAATTAAAAGAAGCCTATTTATTCCCTTTGTATAAATAACTTAAAGCTCCTCAAATTTTTAACTTCCAGTTTTCTACAAATGAATAGAATATCTTTTATATATGTTTTCCAATAGTTTTCTCACTAATTTAGCAATCACTTCCTATATTGTATTTAATTCAATTTTCAGAAAAATTTCCCCTACTGCCATCCAAACATTAATGTAACATAATTGTGATTTCTAAGACATTTTTATAATTCATATATTACTGTTTCCTCTTCATTATTGAACTTCATTTTGAGTTATGATAGATCACCCTGCAATCTAACAATATAGATATTTCCTTTCTTTCAGCACATACAGATACACAAAGCAGATAACCATTTAAGTGGGTTAACAGAAGAAAAGATTACGGTGGCAGTGCTCACGAATTAAAACAAAAATTTCAGGAAAATGCTCTATCTGTTCATTATTATCTGTAACGTTTGCTAGAAAATGTAGGGAATGCCACTGTTATGGAAGGGATAATTATAGATCTACAAAAGTAGAAACACGTGTACATGTAATTTATATTTATACAGAACCAGCTTCAGATTATCTGCATAAGGGACAAGAGACACAGATGATGCAAAACACATAATCCTCAAACCACTTCAGGTACATTGTTGTCTCCATATTTCATAGGACTGTGTCTGACAATTCAGAACACATACACAAAATAAAGCCATTATTGCAGAGAGGTTTAAGAGTTACAAACAGTAATATTGAAATACCATTATTGGCTTGAGTTGGTCATCTTCTGTTTATTTCTGATGGTGGCTCGAAGTTTACGTATCACCAGTTTATCGGGCAGAATTATATCACCTTGTTGTTCTAGATAATCCAATAAACTTTCAGTCCATTGGAGAGCAGCGGCATGATTGATATGTTTCTTTGGAATTAGTTCTATTGCCTCCTCCTCATTTTCACTGGATTCCTCTGTCTGGCCTTGGGCTCTTCTGATGATTTCACTGTCAGTTAATACTTCATAACCTGGTTCAGTACTGTCCACTTCAAGCCATTTTTCAATGTTTTCAGTAGTCACATTTTCCAATCCTTTGGTGTGTTGTAAAATGGTGGCCACGGTAGCCAGTGAAATATCTTCTTCATCAAAGTCCAAGCCTTCTTTCTCCTCTATGGAAGGGAGAATCTTCTTCCATGCTCTGCTAATGGTAACTGGCTTTACTAAATTCCAAGCCATGGCTACTTCATACAGTGCATCCAGCAGAGTTAGCTTTTTCCAGAATGATTTCAGGTCATTACCTTCTTCCAAGTTGCTCTGGAGAAGACCTGCACGATAGTTTGTCTTCATTGTTGCTATGACGCCCTGGTCCGAGGGCTGAATCAATGAGGCCACATTAGGTGGCAAATATTTAGCAAATATTTGGCCATCATCTGACCGGAGGACATTTTCATTTGGATGTGTTGGTGAATTATTCAACAAGAGCACGGCCTTCTCCTGTAGGCCTCTGGAGCGTAAGTGCTCTCGAACCTGTGGCACAAAGATCTTGTCAAACCACTGTCGGAAAATGGAAAGATCCATCCAGGCACCTTTCTGGCTGAAATACGAGACTGGCAGGTTTGAGGTGTCGGCTGACTTGAAGGAGCAAGGTTTCCTTGCTTTCCCCACAACACACAGTTTAAGTTTGTGTAAACCCGTTGCATTGGCACAACACATGATGGTGACTCTTTCTTCCATTGCCTTGTGCCCAAAGACAGTGCATTTACCTTTGATGACTGCAGTCCGGGAAGGCAGGCATTTCCAAAAGAGCCCCGTTTCGTCCGCATTGTAGATCTGCTCAGGCTGCAGATTCTCTCGTTCAATAAAGTCTCGAAAGTTGTGACAAAAGTCTTCCACGGCGGCCTCGTCTCCGTTTAACCTTTCGTTCCTAATGTTAATCTCCCGAATGCTGTGCCGCTGCTTAAACCGAGTCAGCCAGCCGGCGGAGGGGTTAAAATCGCCATCCATCCCCAAGGCGTAAAAGAAGAACTCGGCCCTCTTGGCACAGATGGGCCCGGACACCGGATTCCCTTTTGCCCTTTGCTGGTTGAACCACTCCAGCATCGCTCGGTCCAGCTCCTCGTACATGGAGGGCTTCATCGATTTCCTTTTGGCCAGGAGACTGGTGGAGTCAGAGCTGCTCGCGTACGTGATGATCTTCTCCTTGTTTTTCCTTATATCCCTCACGGTCGTCTCCCCGATCCCATAGATCACCGCCAGCTGCTTGGAGGAGCCCCCGTCCTCGAGTTTCTTGATGATGTCAAGCTTATCTTTAATGGTCAGCACCACTCGCTTGCGTTTCCCGGACATACTGAGGCTCCGGGGCTCTCCCCACGCGCACAGGGATGCCTTCTGCAAAGTTCTCCTCGCGGGGACTCGCTTCACTCACTGTAACTCGGTGCCACACACTCTCTCCACCTTCCCCGGCACCTGGCGGCCCTGGCCCCGTCCCGGCCGGGCTGGGCTGGCAAAGAGACAGCAGAGGAAGGTGAGAGGGAAGTTGCAGGGAACAGGCCTTCCACTTGGACGGGCAGGAGAGGAGGCCCCGCGTCTCCGCGGATAACCGGGAATACACACATCGGCTTTACTCCCCCAGCGGCCGCGGGGAAGACTCTCACCCCGCCGCGGCCACAGGATCCCGGGAGGCGCCCCTAACCTTGCCCCACCCCGAAGTTACGAGCGAGCGGAAGAGCCAGGAGTCGGCGACTGGCCCCCTTCCCCAGGGGCGCGGCGGG